TGAACTCTCCTGCTTCTGACGTCAATTGCAACTTCCAATGAAATATATAATGCTCAATGTCATGCCAGCCTCTGTACCACGTGTAGTATCTGAAAGTCTGCGTGTAATGTCTATGCAATACAACCACCACTATATTTCATCCTCAATCACATACATGTTTCGGTACTCTTTATAAAAAAATACACTTCATAATAATTTTTACCAACAGTATTTAGACAAAATTTCAAAATATTATTTTATAAAGTTCCCGTAACACTTTACGACATTGCTCAGTTGTCCTATTGTTTCCGTTTCATCATACAACATTTGGACTAAAACAACTTTGTGAGAACATACCTTCTTTGCGTCTGTGATAAATCTGTGGGTCTTTACTGTACATACATGTTGTAGTTTGTAGAATATGGTCGCCATACGCCACTACGCATTAAGTATCTGATCTTAAGGCTTATATTACCTTAATGCTTTGCTATTTACAATACACTTATTGACAATTACGAATACTGACAGAGTAATGTGTCCTGGGACTCAACTGTCGATTGACAATCAAAGGGAGGTAACTCTACTTTAGAAAGGCGTTACATGCTGCATGAGTTACCTTTCTTTGTATGCAATACTCCTTATTTAATTCATTTTCCTCTCAAACTGGTTACTTTCATGCACTTAATGCACACAACATTAAACATCGAAATTTGGAAACAAACAGAACATTTACCGGTAAGAAACACCTGGACAATCAAGGGCAGATAACTCCGTTTTGGGAAACCAAGGGCCAAACGAGTTATCTCTCTAATCATTTCTCGAATATTCCTTTGAGAAAATATCCATGTTCGTGCCTATCATCTAAGAGATTCAGTTGCAGAGATATTTTGTTTCTAAAACCAAAAGGTTGTATGTTAAAATGACATAATAGCACACAAAAACGAACAAACACCCCTTCCCCTAAACCGAAAGAAACCAAACAACAAAACCAAACAAAACCATAGAAACAACTAAAGAGCAACTATATATGGTCATTGACACGACTGATAGCACTATGGGCATTCAAGCAAATATCTAACACTTCTCAAATAAACATCACTGAATGTATGCAAGAGCCACATTAGCACATTTCATGAACATACTGAACCAATAGAAGTATTGGATGCCATTACCATTCATGACATACCATTACCATTCATGACATACCATTACTATTCATGACATACCATTACCATTCATGACATTTCTGCTAAGGTCAAACTAATATTTGGAATATTATTACTGTCCAGCAATGAACTCTGAACATAGAACAATATGTTTCCGGTCTAATGTACCAAAACAAAAACAATTTGAGTTAATAAAATAATTTTCGATAACGTGCATTCATTATGTTATCTGAATGTGTAAATGGTCGATTCCAGCGAAAAGTGTACACAGCATGTTTGGGCCTATAACATTTTAGCATTACTACCTTCATTTATTTCAGGGTGCCCATCACATCGGCACAAGTGAGACGATTCGGGCCATATATAACATGACTATTTTTAATTACGAATTAGGCTTATGGGAGACAAAAACAGGACATTTTTATTCATTTTGACTTTTATTTTTTTTACAAATGTTTTGTTGAAAACATGTTGTGTGTTAAATACTTGTCAAACTGGATGAACAGAAGTTTATTAATCTGATTGCCAAATATGAATAAATCCCCTGAAATGATTTTGTCTAGGGCTTAATTCGTAATTTTATGTAATTTGTATTCAAGTGGTATTTTTTAGCGTTACCTACAAATACAGTTTTCAATGACACTGCCAATTTATGTAAATGCAACACAAGGTTATGTTTTGTATTACTTTTTACAGCATTAATATGTAAAGTACTCAAATGCAATGGCGTTACATAATATTTCTTACAGGTGAACACATTAGTGAATGATATCCTAAGGTCAAGTGCGAAGGGCCACAATATATACATGTGCTACATCTGAACACTTTCTGTGCTGTTTTTATGAAGATATCACACAAAATAACCTGTATTCGTAAGTAAATTTTAACTCCTAAATGTTACCTACAAGTACCAACAACTGATCACATTCAAATAGATTGGTGGAATGACAACACGTGACATGTGTTCCATTTGGAAGTCATCATAGATGAGACCAGACAACATATTGGTGATTAGTAAGTGTATTTTACATTTTCTGCAAGAATGTTATATAAATAAACCCATGTCACAATAACATAGGATGCATATGACACCTGTTACAGCTAACCAACTTTAATTTTAGTGAGGTTTTAAGTCTTATTATTGTAAAAAAAGACCTGAGACTCAAGTGGAATTGACATGAGGGCTTAGACTAACAACTAGTCTCTGAAATGAACATATTTTACTGAAAAAAGTTCATAGTAAAGAAAAAAAATATAATGAAAAGGAGCCCTGAGACTTTCTTCATTTCCTGAGGCTGAGGAAATCTAGACTTGCCACATTTTCTAGACTTGCGTGGGCTTTCTTGGATATATTTGCTTCAGGGTCTGTACGACAGACTAATGGGGGCTCAAATTGGTAAGACATGGTGTCCCGCTGGGATTTCCCGGTTGTGGCTCACGGCATTTGTAGACAACATGTATTCGTTTTTAACAAAATGAAATAGAGAACACAATACGCTACTATAACATAATTCATACTGAGGACAATTATTGCAGATCATAAAACTGATTAGGTACGCAGTATTGCATATTAATAGATTGAAATGATTCCTTGGAATTCCAAATGGCTACATAACTGAGCGTTCAATAAAATGTTCTATTCAGGGATGCAATGCAGTTCGTGGTATTGACTTTATTATAGTGATATATATAATGAATTCTTTTTGATTGAAATGTCAGAAAACAAGTTGATCTTGGTGATAAAAGTAAAAGTTTGCATGATATCACGGGGTAAACGGTAGATTCGTAGGTAACGTGTGTATTCGTTGGTAACATTCCGAATTTGTAGGTAACACCAGTCAATGTGTTTGAAGTTGAGGACTGTCACCGATGCACTTGCAAACATAGGAGAATTGAGACTATAGTAGAAGTAAGTTGCATGGGTTTAGTAATTAGATTTGTCAAAGGTATGTCCTATTCGTAGGTAGCTCGTTTTTGTAGTTAAAACTTTCTGTAAATGTCTATCTAATAGCAATTGTCATTGCAAAATATGGGTATTTAAAGCAGAGTTATAGTTCAGTAAGACGTATAAGGTATTGATTGTTTTAGTGACATGTTTATCTGTACATAATTGTATGTGGTATATGGTAATAGTTCAAGCGTTTTGAACATTTGAGATGTGCTTTCCTTGAATACAAATGTCAGTTGAAACATTTGGTAAATAAAATTTCAGATGCAATGATTTTAGTTCAATTTCTATACTTCTCATGAACAGTTTAGACTCACTAGTGTAAATATAGCCACTTACTTCAGCGGACTGTTTTGAACTAAATTTTGCGAAATATTGCATACTGTTTGAAGTACTGTTTACACATGAACTGATGTATTGTAAAACAAAATCGCAACGTTGAAAAGATTATTGTCATGAGTTCAATAAATGATAAAAATCAGTGAAAACGGGCGAATTCTGAACAAAACTTTACACCAAAACGAAGCTGTTCACATGTACGATATTTGCACATGCTTTTCAGCAATTTGATGCATGTTACTCGTGCAATTCATCTGCATAAGGTTTGCAGTTGGTTCCCCCAAGTTAGTGGAGAAATCAGTTTTCGATATATATATACACACACACACACACATAACATATAGTGAGTGTTTCTAGTGAGTCTAAAGCTTTGATGAGAAGTATATTTCCATCAGTTAAAATGACATTGCTACTTTCCGACATACACTGACACTGGTTGTAAACAATCTTCATTCACATGTCCTATGCATTTAGAAAATAATTTCCAAACTGTTCGATGTTTTAATAAACCAGCTACGATTTAGTTTGACACATATAAACATTTATGAAACACAAGGGATTACGTGATATTTGTTACCTACAAGTATATTCTTTTCTTTCAACAAAAATTTACTTATAGATGCATTATCAAATTTGTTGTACTTACCGAAAGTTCCACCCGTTGTCTCTCAGATCAATAAGAAAGATATGTAATAATGATTTGTTTGTGAAAAGAACATTAAGTGGTGCTATCTCACTTACATCAAACAAAGGTACCAAAATGGTTCTATTTTCGTAAAGCTTGAGGTTATAAAACATGAAAGAAACCATGATATGGCTTCAGAGTTTCTATAGTCATTAACATATTGTGCATGCAGAACAACAGTGAATTGGATGTTAGGCAACATATAACCCATATAATCACAGGATATACAACGTATGATGTTGATATTTGTAGGTAATTTAGAAAATGAGCCTTTAACTTCACTGATCCACCAACTTGTCACTTTTAGAGATTAGTCATGGCAACTGATTTTCATAAGAGGCAAATATGTTGACTTTACATTGGTAAAAAGAATTACAAGGTGCAAGCAATTCTATTTTGGACACCTTGTACCCAGCTGTGTACACTTTTCGTTGGAATCGACCAATTATGTTTTGTTTTTCAAAGTGATTCAGTTAAACTAGTTATTGTGTATCAGTGAGAGTCGTACAGTTCCTGAAACTGTGTAAATGGTCAGTAGCCCATACAAGTCAGTGATACTCCGTCGGGACACAGATCCAGAATCATTCGGATCATGTTGAAACCCCACAGGTTTTGTGGACGTTTGGTAGTTGTACTGTGGCCGTACATTGTCACGGACTCCCTACAGCGCCTACATCACGGTATGAAGGTAGACCACATTGTTGTAGTATATGGCGATGTCTGTTCGAGGTATTCATGTCTGTCGCTAAGAGGCAACTGATGTTGGTGTTTTACAAGTTTATTATGAAACATCTGCAAGAAAAAACCGCAGAGTTGTGGGTTGTATTTTACACTGTTAGGAATATTGTTTTAGTAACATCATAACAATGTGAGAGGAAAACACATTTGTAAACTCGGATACTGTGCTAACAAAGCAAGATCATGACGTAAAGTAGTAAAGTAGGATTCGAACCCAATATACACGGATCCTGAACAAAGGGACATAACTCTGAAAACGTATTTAAGCAATGGATCACCATTGGTCCAAGCAGGTAGATATTGATGTACGTAAGGAAAATGTAATACTTATGTACACTCAGTACTTAGCATATTTTAAACTACTTACTTGTGTGTAAAATGATAAGAATATTGGGGGCGGTACTATTGATCCAGCTCATAATTTGTTTTCTTATTGGGATATGGACCATTTGCCTCCTAACCCTTTAATATTTTCGAAAAAGCATACACGAGTTACTCCCCTTGCTTCCTGCGGTACAGTTTGCTACTCATATAAGCGTGGACACATAGTATACCATTTCAAACTTTTATCGTCGTTGATAGCCTGTTGTGTTTAGAGCTTTGGAAGATCTAATGTGTACAAAATGTTCGGCGTATACGTAATTTCTGGTACATTTTTGCCTGTACCGTTGCTTCTTGCGGTAAGGTCTTATACACAGAGGAAATGATGATGACATAAAATCCTTCCATGTGACAAAGAGAAAATAGGACATTAGAAAAATATTCAACGGCCATGGCAGTAAAACATCACCATAATAAGTAATACTTTAGCAAGAATGTATGACGAAATCGTTATTTCTTTTTTGCTACTTTTAAAGAAAACTTTAAAAGATTCTCTCAATCTACGTTCACAAATAATCAACATACAAATGAACAACAATGTATTTGTCCAATGCTCACATACACTGTATTAAAGCAAAGCCTTCCCCAAACCACCAGTTCACGCGTCCTATTTACCCATAGATATAACTTCAGTCCTCAACAAATCGTAAATCAGGTTGTGTGTACAAACATATGAAATACTTACTTGTCATTTGAAGTCACCCTGTCTGCTGCCCCAATACTAAATGCATTATCTGGATGGTCCATATATTTAGCACAGTAGGCCGTACGTTACCTGTGCAACATGATATGTTATCAGCTATTTCCGAGAAGCCAGCCGGTCAGGTTACAAGCTGTCGGGTAAACATAGCGACAGGGTGTTTCAGGTAGGTGTCTGCAGTAGCTGATAATGTTCATTACGATATTAACGTGTTGTTTTATTACTGTTTTTCTTTCGACATGCAGGTTTTACGTACTACGACATAAACAGCTACAATCTTGATAAAGTGTCATTATCGAGGAATCTGTCTCAGATATAGTCCCTTGCCAGTAGTGTTAGCAACACAGTGGGTGAAATTTATTACTTCAGATAAAGGTGACGCCTTCTTCGTTAAACTGTCCACATTGCTACTTCGGCCATTTTGAATTGATATTACGGGACACTAGGACTAAATACTGTATGGCCTAGCTTGTGTAAGCTGACATGTAGTTTCGGACCAATGTATTAGCTACGCTGACAAATTTTTGAATGGGGATTCCCATGTTAAATTTTTCGATAAAAAGAGGTACCCCAATTAGCGAGCTCTGCCGCGGCGAGCGACCGTCGCCCACTAATTAAACACCTCGCCGCGTAGGGTAAACACCAGTCCCGGGAAGCTAGCGAGAAAAGTACACAGACGTCGAGTCGAAAGTAAACAATATACGTACTCGCGAGAACCATAAAACATACACACATACAAACACCGAACTCATTGTATATTTCGCGATGGATACGAAACAATATCAGTGGGTTATTGTCGCCAAGCCACCACAACGGTATAGAGCGCATTTCGACGACGAAGTCGTGTTGGGATGTAGTCAACGTTGGTATTATTCAAAAGGAGAGTGTGTGCGCCATCTGGAAGAGAAGCTGCGATATCGACCCGTGGACATTCCGGACTCATGGGGAAGCCCGTGCACATTTATATATTCTCGGACAGCGTACAATCACCGTAGTCCTTACATCATAGCGGACAGGAAATGAACTTACCAACAGAAGTGGACGAAATAGACTCTGAGAGAGTAACGGCATATTTGGAATACTATCTATCGTGCGCATATGCCTTGGTGGTATGGAAATTCATAAAAAAAGTATGAGAGGGAGACAGAGCACGATTTCGATACATTTTTTTCTTACGTCTATGAAAGCGATTGACGAAGACGCGGTTATTCTGAAGTGGCGTCAGTACGTGGATGGTGATCCGTATCTACGCGTCATCTCTCCATTATATTTTCTGAAATATCAATGTAGAGACTACCGAGACACCAGTATCAAAACCGACCAATGGATGAACCATATCAAACGCACGGTTAAACGTTGGTGTGTGAAAGTATAGTCATGCAGGTTGATTATCATCAGGAATACTACGATCCCAGGAAACCAGGCGCTTTTGCGGGTGAACAAAAATTTTATGCCGCTCTGAAGCATCGTAACCCTAATGTCTCTTCTCATGGCGTACGAAGATGGATGAGAACGCAAGACGCCTACAACCTACATCGTTTACCAAAGAAACGATTTTCAAGAAATAAAGTCATCGTGGGAGGAATGTACGTACAAGCAGACGGAGACTTATGCGACGTTTCTAGGTTAGCGCAAGACAACGATGGAATTAAGTATATTCTCATCGTAATCGACTGCTTTTCGAGGTATGTCTGGGTCCGACCTATGGTAAATAAAGAATCAAACACGACTGCCAAAGCGATGAGGGAACTATTGTCATCCATGGAGAAACCGCCATACACACTAAGAACGGACAAAGGAAAGGAATTTAATAATCAAACAGTGCGACGGATTTACACTCTATTTAACGTCAAACATTTTGTTACGCAAAACTCAGACATTAAAGCGAACTACGCCGAACGTTTCATTCGTACTTTGAGATCTATGATGTATAGATTCCTCACGTACAAGCATACCCATAGGTACATCGACGTATTACAAGACCTTGTTTATAATTACAACCATCGCCCGCACAGGAGCCTGAGAGGAAGAGCACCTGTGGAAGTGAAACCATCAAACGAAGCTAGCATATGGTTGGATATATACGCGGACAAAGCGAATATCAAACCTCTACGAAACAGCAACTTTGCATTTAAAGTAGGAGACCACGTCAGAGCATCATTGGTCAAGAGAACGTTCGAGAAGGAATACGAACAGAAATGGTCGGAAGAAGTGTTTAGGATACGTCAGCGACAACTCAGAGACAATATACACGTATATTGGATAGAAGACCTTCAATCCGATCCCATTAAAGGATCCTTTTATCAAAACGAGTTGCAGAAATATCCTCACGATCCCAACGAAGTGAATTGGCGTGTTGAACAAATACTCAAAACGAAATACGTCGGTAAGAAAGGGAGTAAGAAAAGGACCAAACGTGTTTTAGTGAAGTGGTTGGGATATCCAAAGAAATTCAATTCATGGATCGACGCTGACCAAATCAAGAACGTACAAGTAGTGAGAGAATGATGTCAACGGAATGGATTGTGACTAAGAGCGACGATAGCGTCGAGTATTTTCCTGAAAATAAACCTTATAAATTTTCCGTGTACCTGAAACAACCACTCAGACTGAACGGACATTGGACCATATCACTACGAGAAGTATACGCCAGAAGGAAGAACGCCAATAAGAAAAGAGATGTTTTGAATGGAATGTTGTATATATTCTGTTCCATTTGCGAACCGATCATAGTACACGGTCAACGTCAACCTCTGTTGAGACGAGTGCAACAGTCAACAGCATCGACGTGGAAGGCTACGTTCTCCGAACCCTACGACATCGGCGTGAGAGTGATTAACGATACCGTGGAGCGGTTGGATGTTTATATAACGGACGCCTGGGGCAAACCAGCCACTTTTCTGACGGACATTTCCTCTATCACTCTACAGTTGACACCATATCCTTTAATTACATAACATTTTAGTGTTATGGACGTCGACGACGCACTACCAAACGCAGCAGACAGGATGTATGTTCCGAATCCAAACACGTGGAAGAAATATTACGGCGATGTAGCGCACGGGAAAATAAACCCCTATTTTCACCAAAACAATAACTCCAGAAACAATGTCACGACTATGTCACCAGTATCCGCAGCAAAACCGATGATTATCAACTCACCACGTGACATGTCATCTCTCCCGAAGGCGCGCGTCGAACGAGTGGTAGACGTCACAAGGGATATAAACCTCGTGAGTCCGGTAGAACAGGCAGTAGAACAGGCCAAGTCGGAGATCGAACACAACCCAGACATCGTCTCCAAGGTAGCCATAAACGAAGGTATGATGATTAAAAAAAAGAGGTCGCAAGCACGGAGGAGGCAGTTGGAAGAAGACCCTTACGACAGACAGACGTACGAACAAAAATCCGCGCAAGAAGAAAACGAAGAAAGCTCCGAGCAGAAAAAACGGGAAGACGAGGAAAATATCCACATACGGGAAAAAAGCGAAAACAGGGAAATCGCTCTCATACAGAGATATATTTAGCTAATTATGTCTACCATATTCTCTTCAGAGTCCGGGTTTTTTCAGCGAAACCCAACCACCAGAACTGGATCTATTTAGTCTACCCCCGACGCAAACGGCAGTAGAAAGAACGTATCTACAAGACTGTCGCCCTATTTCTCCCCTGTCCGGATCAGCTCCTATCGAATTTCACATTAGCGGACAAAACAGTCTAGATTACATAGATCTCAGGCGCTCGTCCTTGTACGTCAAATGTCACGTGACCAAAGCAGACGGGACCAACCTGACCCTCGGGGACGAATGCTCTCCGGTCAATCATTTTCTGCACTCACTATTCTCTCAAGTGGACGTCTGGTTACAGGGACGCCTTATCAATTCCACAAACAATCATTATCCGTACAAAGCCATCATTAAAACGTTGTTAAATACAAACGAAGTCGACGCCAATTCCAAGCTGACATCGCAATTATTCGTCAAGGACACGGCAGAAAGCATGGACGTTACAAAGCCAAACTCGACTAACAGAGGAATGTTCGAAAGACACAAGCTTATATCGGAGAGTAAGAGTT